GAGAGAGAGAGAGAGAGAGAGAGAGAGAGAGAGAGAGAGAGAGAGAGAGAGAGAGAGAGAGAGAGAGAGAGAGAGAGAGAAATTTACATCGCCGCAAGAAACCGCGCCCGGTTTTGCGGGGACGCGCGGCACACTGCTTGTTTGTTAAGGAGAAAAACCATTTTCCATGACACTGTGATGCGGAATGAGAGACACTGTGAGGCGGAATGAGAGAGAGAGAGAGAGTGAGAGAGTAATGGACATCGCCGCAAGACACCGCTCCCGGTTTTGCGGGGACGCGCGGCACACGGCTTGTTTGTTGAGGAGAAAAAACATTTCCCATGACACTGTGAGGCGGAATGAGGGAGCGCACGAGGCTGCTACACGGGGCTTGGCCGTGCTTTGTGGATCGGGAGGGGGCACTTGAAAGGCAGATCATTGTGTGTGTTGGGGGGGGGACGAGGGCGGACCACTACGGTCCGCTCTATGTTATACAGTAATTTAGTTTTCCTTGCACAAGGCAATTACCCAGAATGTTTCAATCGCTTCTCTTCTCTCCCGGGGCCTCGCTCTACCACTCGCCAAATGGTCAAATGATAACCATTTAGCTTGCCGCTAGCACATGGGAAGGTCGCCGTAATTTGTCTTTTGTAAATGTGGTGAGTGGTGCGGCGAGGCCCCTTCTTGCTGTGTTACTGGAGTAGAAGGCGATCACCATTAGACTGGAGGTAAACAGTAATCTGGTAGGCGCTAGAAACGTAGAGGCGTAATGCATGAGTTTGCTAGTATCGCCAAGGCGGTGGAGGGGATGGTGGGGCGAAGGTGATCACGCGGCAAGAGGGAACTAGAGAAACAACGGAATGTGACTGATGTGATTGATCAATCAGCAATTACGTAGCCGTTTCCTCCACCATCTCGGTCAAGGGTGCCCCGCCGAGGAACTTGCGCGAAAAGGTTATTGCTGTAAGCGCAGCTGGAAGCGAACTGAGAGCTGCGGAGACTGTACACCCTCCTCCCCCTACCCGCTCTTCTTCATCCCCTGCCCTTCACCTCGTCGTGCTCCACCTCCTTGTCCTCTGCCCCGTTCTCCTCCAACCGGTTCTCCCTACTCCCCCCTTCTCCTTACCCCCCTTGCTTCCTCAGCCCTTTGAGAGGGTGAAGGAAATGCGAAGGCGCAGGTGATGACTTGGCTCGAGGCGAGGAGAACATGAATCGGACTGAACGACCTCTCGTCTGGACCGGGAACTGGGAAAAAGGGTGCAATGTGGAGATGGGAGGGGTTGGTTGGAGCGACGATGTTCATGCTAATTGTGCGCCAGGCCTGCAATGGAATTTATTGTACGGAAGGTGGAGAGCCAGGGACGGCCGATTTGCTACCTGTAGTAGGTGATCTTGCCAGTGTCCGAGGTGACTGGTTGATTGGGAAAGCAGGAATTTTGGGGCTACCGTAGTAAAACATGCCCCTATGAAATTTCCGGCTTCTGCCCGAGTTTTATGATGATGGCCCTGTGGGGTGGTGAGCATTGTTGGCTGATAGGGCCATGGTGTTGTGACTCTAGAGCATGACTTTGGCTTGGTTTGAATTGCAACCTGACACCTGAGTTCCATCCATAAATGATTGGTCTGTTTGGTTTTGTTGTTTCTTTTTGTGGCCAGGCATGTCCTCTGGTTTTACCTGGCCCGCGAGCGGACATCGTCTCGGACTGAACTGGTTGTATAATGTGCGGGTTTGGCACTACCAGGTTCGGATTTGGCACGGGCGCGGGCGGTGGTGGTGCGTGGTCAACGACCGACTGACTGCTTGGAGGTCCAGCTGAAGTGCTTTGAACCGTTGGTTCCGTCGCTTTCCCGCAGCGGCTATGGCCGGTCTGCAAGCAGACCCGCGGGCGCCGAGTGTCCTCCTTCCGGTCGTCTGCGCTCTGCTCCTCCTGGGTTTGGCATCATCAGCTTGTGCTCTGCGTGATCCATTCGGGGGGCTCAGATTGCCATCTGAGCGTGAGAGAGAGGGGGAAGTTAGTGGTGAGGAGGCAGAGGAGGAGGATGGGGCGATGGGGACGAGGTGGGCCATCCTTGTGGCTGGTTCGTCTGGGTACTGGAACTACCGGCATCAAGCAGACGTGTGCCACGCGTACCAGGTGCTCTCCAGAAATGGGCTGAAGGACGAGAACATCATCGTGTTCATGTACGACGATATCGTGTACCACGAGGAGAACCCTCGACCGGGGACCATCATCAACTCGCCGAATGGGGTGAACGTGTACAAAGGGGTGCCCAAGGACTACACCGGGGGGGATGTGCGGGCCGACGTGTTTTTAAATGTCCTTACGGGAAACAAGGAGGCCGTGAAGGGGATCGGCAGTGGAAAGGTGCTCTCAAGCGGACCCAACGATCACGTGTTCATTTACTACTCGGATCATGGAGGCCCTGGGGTTCTTGGAATGCCCGGCTCGCACTTTCTCTACGCCGACGATCTCAATGCGGCCATAAAGAAGATGCACCAGGCCGGCACTTTCAGGGAGATGGTGGTGTACTTGGAAGCGTGCGAAAGTGGCAGCATCTTTGAGGGCCTCTTGCGGCCGGAGTGGAACGTCTACGCGACGACTGCCTCGAACGCTTACGAGAGCAGCTGGGGCACCTACTGTCCCTACTCGGATTCGCCGCCGCCACGAGGCTACGAGGTCTGTCTGGGAGATCTGTACAGCGTGGCGTGGATGGAGGATTCTGAGAGTCGGGATCTCAGCAGAGAGACGCTTCTCGAGCAGTACCGTGTGGTGAAGAATCGCACGGCAAATGCGCCAGGGTACATGCTTGGGTCGCATGTGATGCAGTACGGCAAAATGGACATCGACCTGGAAAAGTGCTCCTTGTACCTGGGTTCGGACCCCCAGTTAGCGACCACTGCGGGTGGCAAGTCGGCGTCCACTTCACTGTCGCCCTTTGACAATAATCAGAATGAAGAAGACGAGGGGGAGCAGACGTTGGCCGGCGGTGAGAGGAGGAGGTCATCCTACTCGATCAACAACAACAAAGGTGGTGGTGCAGTTGCTCAGCGGGACGCTGAGCTGGTTCACCTCTGGGCAAAGTTCTCGAACTCTCTGGAAGGTTCCGCGAGGAAAGCCAAGGCCTTTGAAGAGCTGAACCAGATCACGTCCGAACGAGCTCACATCGATCGCTCGGTGACCTTAATTGGGTCCCTGCTCTTCGGTGTTGGTGGCTCCGACCAGGTTCTGAACGCTGTACGTGCGACTGGGCTGCCGCTTGTTGACGACTGGGACTGCCTGAAAGCGGCCGTTCGTGTGTTCGAAGCCAACTGCGGACAGCTGACTACCTACGGAATGAAGCACATGCGTCGTTTTGCCAACATCTGTAACGAACAAGTCCCCATGCCAATGGTGGAGAAAGCGGCGGCTGCAGCCTGCATGGATTACCATCCACCTACTGTTCATCAAAGGGTGGTCAGCGCGTACCAGATCGTCGGAATGGGATTGGATGGAACCGGAAGATCATCATGGAATTGATAATTGGCTTGACTTGCTCCTATTCCTTTGTTTTTTTCCAAATGCCAACCAAGATGGCTACCACTGTAGTACCTTCCTTGGTTGTAGTCACTCTTCCTGTTTGTAAGCTTCGAAGATTGGGAATTTAAATCAGGGCCGAGGGACTAGATTGAATCCAACAACGAGCGAATGATGCTGGATTATGACGGTTGGTTAGGCTGATTAGGAGCTACATATCTCCTCCTTCGTGGACAAGACGGGACGTGGAGCACCAGGACATGATCACAATCTTCGTTCTTGTTGATTGAAGTTCATCTGACCATGAGCCGATCGCTGGGGGGTTGCTCGGGGAACAAGATGGATAGATAGATGACTGCAGGAGTTGGCTGCCAGGTTGGTTTGTCTGCCAGTACCTGTAGGTAGGTAGGTAGGTAGGCAGATGTATACTGGGTTGTGTCGGTGGTTGGTGTGAAGTTAAAAAAATGGGTCTTGTCTGGGCGTCACTTGTTGAGTGAGTGACGGTTCGGTGCACCGTAGTGTAGTGGTCTGGCCATTCTTGCTGAGGGGTGGGGGTTGCCCTTGGCTTACATATTGGTACAAGGGAAGGGGAGTCGCGTACAGGACTGCCCGTTCGTTGCCTTGTGGTTGGTTTGTCTGCCAGCCAGCCTGTAGAAGGATGCATACCATGTCAGCCATTAAGTCAGACTGTTCGGGAGTGCACTGTAGTGTAGTGGTCTGGCCATTCTTGCTGAGCGGTGGGGTTGTTGTTTTATATATTATAAGGGAAGGAGAGATGTGTACAGGACTGGCTGTTCATTGCCATGTCTTGGTTTGTCTGCCAGCCAGCCTGTAGAAGGACGCATACTATGTCAGCAGGTAGGTCAGACTGTTCAGGAGTGGAACGGGTGTAAGCCTGTAGAACATATGGTAATTATGCCTGTGTTTGGGGCAAGTTTCACTCTAGATACAGCGAAAATGACGGTACGTTCTATTCAGGGCAAGACGCAAGTGTTTGTTGTTTTGGTTACATCCATCCGTCGGCTTCAGATCTTTGCCAAGGATTTTGTTGTTTTGCTTACGGAGTACGAAAACTGTGCTCGCGTGTCATTTGTTCACGACTGGTCGAACCACTTCAAGCAGCCGTTGTAACCATAGTAGTACTTGTGGAAAAACACATACCGACGAGGACTTTTTTGCGGACGTCTGACCTCAATTTGTGGTCAGATTTGGTCCAAAGAGTCACAATGATACGTACGCCTTTGGATTCCCGAGGGCAGGGCAGGGGTCCTTTGTGAAAGTGCTCTCTGTGTGGCATGTGTATGGTATGCAAAGACGGTGGCGTTTGATGCCCTGTGTATGTTTCTGTGATTAGCGATTGGGTCAACTTGTCGATCTATGTAGGGCTTTGATTCATTCATTCGTTTCCTTTTTAAATTGATTGAGTTTTATTGATTGGTCGGTTGATTGATTGATGGATTGATTGATTGATTGATTGATTGATTGGTCGGTCGGTTGATTGGCGACTTTTGTGGGGTCTTACGTACCTTAGCGTACCATGACTTCACAACAGAGAATTGTTCAAGCATTGGTGATGATGGCAGATGTCATCAAGAGAAGGGGATGTCGGCACGGTGCTGTGTATGAGCAATAACGTTCAACTGGTGTTCATCATCTGCCATCTTTCAACGATTGGTAGATGGGAGGAAACAGCATTTGGTAGAAGTTTGTGGCATTTGACAGGAGGGCAGGGGAAGATGTAGTCACTTGTCTGCCGTGGTCAAGACACATGTGTGAAAAAATCCTGACGAATCTTCTTGCGGATGTGACTCCACCGAGGGCTGAAAGGGAGCTTCTGCCATAACTACTGCAGAAAGAGGAACAACTGAGCAAGATGCGATAGATTGCATCATCCCTTCCTCTTGAGAGAGGTGACCATGTGTGCGTGGATTTGAACAGATCCCCGCTAGAAGCAAACGTATATTTGTGTCCCTTGTGAAATAACAACCTTTGGTAAGTTGAGAGAAAGAAGAGTTTTGGGCAGTTTCAGCCAAATGCTGCCATCACCTGAGGCTGGTGCTAATGCGGATGGCAATTCTTGCTGTCTAGGTTTGGCGGGGGCGGGGCTGATGAGTGGAATTGTCGTGGATAGGGAGGTACATTGTGCCTTGGGGCATCACTGATGCTGATGTTATGCAGTGGGCGCGTACACAAGGATGGATCGCGGGCCATTCTGGCCAGTAGGTTGACTGAGGTTCAGCTGGGTGCACAAGGGGATGTGTTGAGTTTTCTGTCTGAAACCTTGTGCTGTCATGTACAGGCCTGCTGATGGTGTGGACGCTGTACTTCTGTTGCCACGTCGAGAGTGAAACCTTTTGCTCCTGTGACAACTAGAAGTGACGAGTGGTTAGTCCCGTGGATGAGGGTTGTGCATGGGATGAGGAGTACGCAGGAGAATGCATCCGCTAATGTTTGAGCTATGTTGTGTGTGACGACTTCATGGTTGGTGACTCCGAAACTCTCTGACACATGGAAGGCATACGGAGTGTTGAATCTAGAGATGGGATGGGGTGCAAAAACCATGTGGAAGTCGTGACAAGAATGTTGACTTCTCATGGGATGCAGGGAGGATAGGGCAGCAGAGACTCGACTTCAGGTGTTGTATGGCCTGTGTGTGAATGAATATGAAGGAAACGGTGCCCTCTGTGTGTGGGATGTGGACACAGCTGAGGTGTAATGATTGTCTATGTCACTAGTGGCTGAAGCAGGGTGCACCTCGTACTGTATGGTGTTGTGGTGCCCACTGAAAAACTGTACTGACCATTGGAGGTGTATCACTTGCAATCCCAGACTGCAGAGGGGCTCTGCTGTCTTGGGAACATTGTTGTTTACACAGGGGACTTGTTGAGCAAGTGCTATATTCGTTCTGGTGGATTCGTTTGCATTGTCGCTGTGTAATGGACACACCGTTGACTGCTCCGACAGTGCTTTTGTAAAGAAGGATGGATGCACCAACGACGGCTCCAACGGTGCTTTTATACACAAGTGTATGTTAGTTTGGTTTGTGAGACTGAAATTGTTTTACGTCTCCCGTAAATGAATGTTTTTTTTTTTGTTCCCAGTGAATTTTGTATGTTGAGTTTTTTCAGAAATCGCTGGCTGCCACAATTTTGTCCTCTTATTAATTAAAACAGGTAGGCCAGTAGGTCTTGATGTGACTCGTTGTTATTGGTCTTTCTATCATGTGCTATTCTCTGGTAGTTGTGTTTTTCTTTTGTCTCTCATTTGTAACTGTTGGGCCCTGGTGGATGTTGTACCATGCTCTGCTGTGGCTTGTCTGTGATGTGGTTTTGGCGGGCTGGTATTCTTTGTGCTTCTCGTTAAAAATGTCTGCCCTCCTTGGAGTGAAAGATGTCCGCAAAAAATAGCCGACCAATGGTCAGTATAAGCCCCACATGAGCACTGGGAGGGGTGTGCTTGAAGGTTATAAAGTACCTGATCACTGGTCAGCGTACGACCCGCTTAGAGAGGTGCGCTTGAAGAAGGTGACAAAATATGTGGTCTGTGGTTAAAGCAAGACCCACGAGAGGACTTCGGAGGGGTGAGCTTGAGGATGACAATATACCTGATCAGTGGTCAATGTAAGATCCACACTATAAGACTTCGGGTGTGCTTGAAGGAGGCGACGAGGACTTCGGAGGGGTGAGCTTGAGGATGACAATATACCTGATCAGTGGTCAAAGTTAGATCCACACTATAAGACTTCGGGTGTGCTTGAAGGAGGCGACAAAATGCTGAGGCGGGAAAGATGCTCTTTGGGAAAACAAGTGTGTGTGGATACCGGGAACTCCTCTTTGACTGTGTTGACGTCTATGCCTGATTCCTGGTGAGGGGTCGAGGCGACGATTCACATTTGATTATTGCCAGTGACCACACTAAGACTTCGGGTGTGCTTGAAGGAGGCGACAAATGCTGAGGTGGGAAAGATGCTCTTTGGGAAAACAAGTGTGTGTGGATACCGGGAACTCCTCTTTGACTATGTTGACATCTATGCCTGATTCTTGGTGAGGCGATGATTCACATTTAGATGATTGGCAGTGACGATCGATGGTCAATCCTGCAAGGCTGTACTAGCCCCGAGCCCCAGCGTTGCAAGATGTCTTCATGGCACATTCCTAATGTATCAGTGGCCCCAGCCAAAAAAGAAACAAGTGAGCCACTGGTGGTTCAGCAAAGCTTGGCGTGCAGCATCACCGGTGTGCTGCTGGTTTAAAACACACCAATACAGGGAGCCCTTCTGCGGGCCTGTGGCAGGCTTTCTGTTGCGACGCGTGAGTAATAAGTGAATCCATTAGACTTCCCCGGTAGGGCAGTATGCCAAAGCGCCGCCCACTTGTATACTTCTCCACTTGTTTTGGTGGGCTTGAGATTTCTCACCATGGTTGAGCAGCTGCTGCTGCTTTTTTTCTTTAAAAAAAAAGTGTTGTATTACAAAGGTTTAACCTTCGTTGCTGGAAACGTCACAATACAACCCTGACATAGTGGGGCCACTATCTACCTTGAAGTTTGGCTTGGGCAGGAAACTGGGTCCAGCATTCACCCTTTCTCGCAATTACTTGTTAGAAAAGCAAAACAAAGTTTAACAAACAATACAACTGGATCAGGAAATTCAAAGGTGAAAACCCCACATCTTGAAAACTACCTTCTTCCCCCAAATACAACGTACGGTCATTATAGCTGTATTTGATGCATGTTTCAGTCTAGATACAGCTATCATGACCGTATGTTGTATTCGGGGGAAGAAGGTAGTTCTTGAAGGGGAGTAGGGGAATTGGACAGTGCTCCGGCGGCAGTGCTCAGTTATGGTGGTGCTAACTTTCAGACTAGCGATAGCAAGAACGACCGGTGCGTTTTGTACAATGAGACAACTTTCGTCAAAGTTACTGATGTGATTGATTCCTCTCGCAATAGTCAATCTAGGGTGGTTTGTGGTGAAAGATTAGTGGGTAGAGAATGCACCTCTTATCCAGGTTGATAGTACGGTCCCCTTGTCTATCACAATCTCCTTGCTCCACCATTTTCTCTTATCCAGGTTGATAGTACGGTCGCCTTGTCTATCACAATCTCCTTGCTCCACCATTTTCTCTTTTACCAACTGCCTAGGAGTAGCCTACCATCTTCACTCGAATAGAACGCCCGGTCATTATCACTGTATCTAGACTGAAAGTTGCACCGAATACGGCTATAATGACCGGGCGTTCTATTCAGGTGAAGATGGTAGGTTGCACCTCTTATCTCTCCCGCAGTTCTTCTGCTGGTTGATGAAGAGTTTAACTTTTTTCAGTGAAGGAATTATGCAACTAAGTTGCGTCTGTGCAAGGTTATATCACATAGCGAGATCTTAGTTTTGGAAATGTTTATGCAAGAATGACAATGAAAGGAGGTAGCTCCTTGAGATGTCAAACAACGAGCGCTGCATCTCTCGTAGTGTGGAGGATAAAGTTCGAATGAAATGAATGTTAAATGCTTGCTACAAAAAAAAAAAAAAAAAAAAAAAAAAAAAAAAAAAAAAAAAAAANCTACAACAACAGAATTATACTGTGTCGCATGTAACAAGTAGGCGCAAGCAGGAATTGCAAACTGGAGTGTATCATGTAAAGTTTATGATTACCAATGTTATAGTTCAATTGAGTAAGACTGTGTTGGAAAGTCTTAGAAGGGCTTGTTAGGGATCGTGAGGGTTGTGAGCACTGTGGCAGCCTACTGCATGAGTAGTTCCCTAATAGGTCATTAGATATTTACAGACTGATCTCAGCCGAAGCCGGGTAATGGCCCCGGTATCTCAAATGATCTCACATTTTCTCAATGATCTGTACAATTCGATATGGGACGCTGGGCCCGGTTCCCAGCACGTGCTGCTCCCCACGAATAAACTGGAGCATTTGTAAGTTCAATTGCATGCGGATTGGTTGAAGGAGAATGTGGTTACCATCCCATTTGCGGATGATTTTTTTTTCGCTACCCTACCAGCTAATATTCAACATTTACAGAGGTGTTAAAATTTTGAACAGCCCCCGTGTTAAACAAAACAAAACAGAGGGGAGGGGGAAGGGGGGTGAGGTTTTGACTCTTTAGTATCTTCACCGCTTCGGAGTTCTTATAATCTTCACCATGAATATACATCTAGACGGTGAACATTTTGAAGCACTGAAGGTGTTGCAAATTGTGAACACCCCCCTTCAAAAAAAACAAATGAGGAGGAGGAAGGATGAGGGTTCGGAGTTTTTTGCATTTTCAATTTTCAAAATCTTCATTGTTAATATGCACCAGGACATTCGGGGCGGGGAAATTTTCAGCATCTTCACCACTTCAAAGTTCAATTTCAACATATGTACGGACACATGGGGACATTTAAAATATTTGACATTTTCACCACTTGAAAAATTTCAGAATATTCAACATCTGTCCAAATAGGGGCATTCAACATTTTCAACACCTTAAGAGTTTGTTGAAACTCGGTTCCAGAAACACCTGAAATCGCTGATTTTTTCCCATTTCAGAATAACTTTCAATGAAGATTCAGCAAGTCGTTGATCCCTTACGCTGGCCACAATTGGGGAACTAATTGACAAGTTGATAACACAACAACATATGACTCACACCTTGAGGCTGTCACGGGAACTGGTAGAGTCGAGCACATTGAGTAGCAACGTGACAAGTCAGGCCAGGCGACACACTGTGGAGTTCACCCCCTTGGGAATATGGAAAAAAAATACAATTCATGAACAGCGGAGCGCACACGGTACGCACAATTTGCAGTCAGATACTGCTCAACAATGGATTCATTTATGCTAGCCAAGAAGACTCCTTTCCATGGCAGGGGAGGGGTGCATTTGGAAGACAATGTGCCGAACACAGTACTTACGGGATCGACCACGAATGGGACGAAAGGACTAAGGATTGACGAAATGATAAGGACATGGCAAGTACCTTGTCGCACAAAACATAAAAGGAATCGAAGGTTGCGGGGAATTCGGCATGCTATCCTCACGCAATGGGTGAAAATGTTGAAACAAGACATACTTAGAAAGGGGGAGCGGGTGAGGATTAGGGGTGACACTCACCCCAGGGTGATATGTAGGGTGGTGGAGGATACTCATGGGTACCAAGTACTCGCCACAAAATTGAAGGTGTGAACGGGGATGAAAGGATTAGGGGAGCCATTGCTAGGACATCAGGAGGATGGTGACCCCCCTCAAAGGAGAATGGCTAAAGCAGCAGTGAAAAGTGTGTTGGTCTGTCGGGGAGTCAGGTTGGAGAAATAATAGTGTTTTCTCTTTCCGGATATCGGTCAGGAAGAGCAAAATAATATGCGACCCGCAGGAATGGACATGGTAAATACAGAATCACCACAAGAAGAAATTCTACTTGCAGCAACGGACATGGTCAAAACAGATGCACCACAAGAAGAAGTTCTACCTGCAGTCACTAAGCATACAACAAATCTACGGGTTCATCCTTCCAAAGGAGGAAACATGGGAAGAATTGAGAACAGAGATTGGCTCCCGATGGCACACGTGGAGATGGATTGGGCAAAGGTGGAGGGAACAATGTGCCTTGATGGTGACCCTCGTGCACCAGAAACATGTGGATGTGTTAAGCCACCAGTACATCCAACTATCGGTCGCGGACCCTTTTCGGAGGCCTCCCACCACCGATTCAATTTATCTACGACGCTGGGCCTTCAAAATTTTTGTAGGCGACGAGTTTTCTATTCAGCAAGGCTGGGCTGTGTACTGGTGGCTTAAGGCAAATAGCCCACCAGGCGGTTCTTAGAGAAGAATGGCAGGCGTCCAAGAGTCCATACAAGAATACTATATGCACGGCAACATAGGCCCAAACGGAGACAATCCCTCACTTCCTTGTGCACTGCTCAGTGGTGCAGACCTTCATGGAATGGTGGCCCAAGGACCTTATAGACAAGTTAGCATCGTAGGTGACAAAAAAAACTACGATGCAATGATCCTACTTGGGATGATAAT